AAGGCCGTAATTATAATATATATCGGGGGGACACACATCCTCCCAATATTCAAATATGCTCAAAATGTCCCCTCCAATATATTGCTATAAACAATATATTTTTAAAAATAATAATTGCTATGCTATGTAAATAAAAACAATAATGTGCTTAACCTTGGCCACAATATCTGGATTTTAGGCAGTAAATGGCAGGAAATTAGTTTTCAAATTTTGATTTTTTTCTGGGGGAGGGACCCCTAGACCTCCTGAAAGATTTGGTCCTCACCAATGTTGACTCCATGGCTACGGCCCTGGTCAGTACAGACTGTCTGTATCATCTACATTTTAGCACTGCATTCATGTTCGATTTTCATAAGTAGCACAATCAAACACTGTCGTTATTTTTATTTCCATTAACAGCATATTCTTCATCATCATCACGATCTTCAACAACAACATCTTCGTCATCATCATCATTAAAATGGACCACAGAAGAGATTTTTGACAGGACTTCTGACAAATCCGTCAAGTGGTCTTTTTGTCCCTTGCACAGCATTGTGGGGGGGGGGGGGATATTTTGTTTTGCACTCTGCAACCAATTTCTTGTCGCACGACACTCAAACCAATGGCTGTCTCCGCAGAATTCTCTTAATCTCTTTCATTCTCTCGACATGCAGTTATGTTTATTTTATATTGCGTTTGTTACGGGTGCACAGCCCATTGTCAATCCACTGCAGTCAACGATGTGTGGGTTCTTGGGAATTGTTGAACCACACTTCACGATTCCAGTCAGAGTGGGTTGGTGAACCTGCCATGTAGCATTAGACAGGTGGAGGTTAAAGTAAAATACAATAAATAAAACATTCCTTCGGACACCACTTTAAAATTGGACGTGTTGATCGATCAACTCTAATTAATTTCCAGCAAATGTGGAGAGCACGAGTTAAATTTACACCGGTTGGGGACAGCCGTGGTGTGTGCTGCGGAAGGCAATCTTCGTAGGGATTAGCAAAATAGGAGCGAGCATCATCTCCACGACATACACCACAAACCTGCTCAGAATAGTAAATTAATCCAACTCCCAAGCATCGCTAAGTCCATTAATGAACTATTCTTTAAAAGTGCCTGAATGTGAATCCTGATGAATGTCAGTTCCACTGAGAATTCTCAAAGTAATTTCACTCTGCATAATTTGACTTCCAATCACATTCAATATATCAAGGGTTTTTTTATGCTTCTCTTGGAATGTATTAATGTATTTACCCACCCATGCAGACGAGCTCTGCAAGGAAATCTTTAATGCCATAGATGATGTATACCTTGTGGTGTCTGGGCAATCTAATCCTTGCATTCGATACACAAACATAACTTTGAAGTCAAGTGCATTGTGTTTAGCATTTGAAGGATTAACTTAAACTACAAATCCATAAGCCAAATTGATCTGACCTGTTCTTCAATATGTTTCGCACGTGAGATATAAAAGACACTGAATGGTGGATCATTCACATGGGCATATAATACTTGTGATATTGATATTGTTAGTACTGCCTGTGGCCAATTCACCACTGCCTACAACCAAATAATTAATAAATGTTCCCGATCCCGTAAGATCTCAGGGCTGAGATATACTTGCAGACATATACAAAGATCGCATGCACACAGAGCACCAGTACTTGTGCGAGACATAAAGCTTGTGTGCATGGACAAACATATACACATAGATGACATATGCACATATAAATGGACACAGTATACAATTAAAACTATTTTTTTATTAACACTTATCGCATATAATTGCAACCACATATTTGAAACACTGTACAAATGAAACTGGTAAAAAGGAGGCTTTTTTATTACATGCATAACTAACTGTACACGTTTTTTTATTCAGTCAAATCATAAGCATAGAATATGAGGAAGGTCTTGAGGCTGGACTCTAAGACGAGTTTCAAACAAGACACCAAATCATATGAAAAGCATTCGGCCTTTACGTGCTGTGAAAAAAAAGTCGACAGCAGTTCCTGAAGTGCCTTGTGGTTCTCTTTTCTGAGATGCCAGCATTGATACCGAGACAACTGTAAACCGGCGTCGTCTTCATTAAGATTCATCAGCAACAGCATAATCACGAATGCTCACTGCTGCAAGTTCAGCAGCATCACAGATACCTGGTGATAGAGGAGTTCCAGATGATCAGAGCAACAGTGAAGGAGCAACCACTCACAAAGCAGAGGCTGACTTGGGGCTTCCACGGAAGAACTTGTTTGCTGGTGTGGGGAGCACGCATGCAAAGGGCTGCGGAGTGATATTGGAGGGGGAGAGGTGACAGGAGCCGAGTTCATGGATGATGTTGAAGATGGGGAGGACAAGCGCGTCGTTGTTCCAAGACTAGATTTGAGCATTCGGGTTATGTGGTCTTGTTTACATGTCTGAGCAAGAAAAAGCTACCACTGTGGTTTAGAATATTTGGCTGCTATAAATGCCCACGTGATAAGCCACTTCGTTCAGCTATCAATCGTGGCCAGGTGGCTTCTGAAAAAGTTCTATATAGCTCAGTGTGCCTTATGTGGCAAAATAAAAAAAAATGTATACAGTGAGGGAAAAAAGTATTTGATCCCCTGCTGATTTTGTACGTTTGCCCATTGACAAAGAAATGATCAGTCTATAATTTTAATGGTAGGTTTATTTGAACAGTGAGAGACAGAATAACAACAAAAAAATCCAGAAAAACGCATGTCAAAAATGTTATAAATTGATTTGCATTTTAATGAGGGAAATAAGTATTTGACCCCCTCTCAATCAGAAAGATTTCTGGCTCCCAGGTGTCTCTTATACAGGTAACGAGCTGAGATTAGGAGCATACTTTTAAAGGGAGTGCTCCTAATCTCAGCTTGTTACCTGTATAAAAGACACCTGTTCACAGAAGCAATCAATAAATCAGATTCCAAACTCACCACCATGGCTAAGACCAAAGAGCTCTCCAAGGATGTCAGGGGCAAGATTGTAGACCTACACAAGGCTGGAATGGGCTACAAGACCATTGCCAAGCAGCTTGGTGAGAAGGTGACAACAGTTGGTGCGATTATTCGCAAATGAAAGAAACACAAAAGAACGATCAATCTCCCTCGGCCTGGGGCTCCATGCAAGATCTCACCTCGTGGAGTTGCAATGATCATGAGAACGGTGAGGAATCAGCCCAGAACTACACGGGAGGATCTTGTCAATGATCTCAAGGCAGCTGGGACGATAATCACCAAGAAAACAATTGGTAACACACTACGCCGTTAAGGACTGAAATCCTGCAGCGCCTGCAAGGTCCCCCTGCTCAAGAAAGCACATATACATGCTCGTCTGAAGTTTGTCAATGAACATCTGAATGATTCAGAGGACAACTGGGTGAAAGTGTTGTGGTCAGATGAGACCAAAATGGAGCTCTTTGGCATCAACTGAACTCGCCGTGTTTGGAGGAGGAGAAATGCTGCCTATGACCCCAAGAACACCATCCCCACCGTCAAACATGGAGGTGGAAACATTATGCTTTGGGGGTGTTTTTCTGCTAAGGGGACAGGACAACTTCACCGCATCAAAGGGACGATGAACGGGGCCATGTACCGTCAAATCTTGGGTGAGAACCTCCTTCCCTCAGCCAGGGCATTGAAAATGGGTCGTGGATGGGTATTCCAGCATGACAATGACCCAAAATACACGGCCAAGGCAACAAAGGAGTGGCTCAAGAAGAAGCACATTGAGGTCCTGGAGTGGCCTAGCCAGTCTCCAGACCTTAATCCCATAGAAAATCTGTGGAGGGAGCTGAAGGTTCAAGTTGCCAAACGTCAGCCTCAAAACCTTAGTGACTTGGAGAAGATCTGCAAAGAGGAGTGGGACAAAATCCCTCCTGAGATGTGTGCAAACCTGGTGGCCAACTACAAGAAACGTCTGACCTCTGTGATTGCCAACAAGGGTTTTGCCACCAAGTACTAAGTCATGTTTTGCAGAGGGGTCAAATACTTATTTCCCTCATTAAAATGCAGATCAATTCATAACATTTTTGACATGCGTTTTTTTCTGGATTTTGTTGTTGTTATTCTGTCCCTCACTGTTCAAATAAACCTACCATTAAAATTAAAGACTGATCATTTCTTTGTCAATGGGCAAACGTACAAAATCAGCAGGGGATCAAATACTTGTTTCCCTCACTGTATATAGTATCCGCCATTTGGAGATGAGAGATGTGGGGAGAGTGTGGAGGAGTAGTTGTAGTGGTCACCGTCGAGATGTGACGAAGGGCGTGGATGGGGATCACAGCGATCACTGTGCCGAGAGGTGTACAGATGAGAGGTGTGAGGTCCTGCAGAGTTGACATGAGAACCAGGATCAGTGATGACTCCAAGGTTACGCAACACTCCTTGCCAAGGAGATGCATCATCAAACTGGGGACAGCAATGAACGTGGACTTTTTGGCAAAGAGGGAAGAACTTCAATTTGACAACAATTATTTGGAGGAAATTATAACCATTCTAAGATGAGACGGCATGAAGCCAGGATACGAGAGGGGACAGTGAGGTGGAGGTCATGGAATCAGTGGAAGTGTGGAGCTGGGTAGCATCCAAGCCTCTTCAAGCCCAGTAAAACAACGTCCGCAACAATGGAGAAACTCCAACTGTGTTTTTCACAACACGAGCAAAGTTGTAAAACTTTTGCGACATTAGAAAACTCTTGCCATGACTCCCATCACAACCGCAGAATTCTAACGCCACTCTAGAGCACCACTTCCACAACCATAATCCTCCACGCACTCTCTCACCAGTCCTCTCACTCCACTCGAACTCTGGTCCATCCTCGCAGTGGTTTTTGGCTCGCCATCGTACAAAGATCCGCTTTTGCAGCCGCCTGGAATGCTCTTCCTTCTGATGTTCGGAAGCTGTGCACTTCTAAATTTAGATTGAAAACTCATTTCTTATTTTAGAACTGCTTTTTGTGTTTAGTTTTGTTGTCCTTTCCCCACACCTCCGATGAGCACAGTTGGCTACGTACGGTGCGAAATAAGTTCAACATACACACGTACATTACAAACGTCACCATCCCCACCCTCTCTCAGAAGGTTCCAATGTTTCCGGGTCTCCTCTTCCCAGATCTCCTAAAAAAAACACTCAACCAATTCCTTGGTTTTTAATAAATGTATCCCATTCAACCCTCCTGTCCATCCTGTCAAAATTCATCATTCATTTCTGATTACTCAGCCTGTCATTCAGATACCTCTCCAATGTGTTCTCAGTTGCATCGAGCTGTTGTTTAGCACGATGTCTGACGTTTCGCTCCAGATGCTAGGAGTTTCCTCAGCAACTTAGCAGAGCTCCCAGGGTGCAGCACAGTTCCTGAATAATCTCACACCACGTAGAGCGAGACGTCTGGCATCCCGAACAACACGCAGCATAATCCGTCAACACGACAGAGCGACGCAGCAGCAACAACAGCCGACATTTGCCCCTAAGGGGATGGTGATGTCACCACCGTTGCTTGTGCCAGGCTAGGTGCATTTTTCGGCCACGTGAAGTGTCGAAGGCTCGCTGGCAGGAGGTCACGGGACAGACCCAGGCGCCATGCGGTTGAGTGGCCGAGATGACTGGCAACACAACCGTGAAAACCTACGCTTTGCTCTCATTCAGATGTTTGCTCAATTGTATTTAACATTTGTTTCCTAGATGATGCCTGCTGTTTACCATACTGATAAGATGCTTTTTTATTAAACAACCTTCACCACACATACAAGATATCCGAGTCATCCAGAACCAAACACACCAGAGACGTTACCTATTTGTACATAAGATTTGTGGTATGTATGTTTACCAAATATGAATGCAGCTTCGTCTACAAATCAAACTACTTTTCATTTACCTGTCTTTTTTACAAAATGTGTTGAGGTTTTCCACACTTCGACTCAAAGCAGAAGATCCCTGAGTTTGTTCTTCCACGAAGCTCATGTTCCAACATGAACCGCATCCACTACACACACCATGACAGTAGATGCGGACAGCCGATGCACATCACCGCGCTGATGCACTCCTCCGCTAGCTTCTGAAGCAGTTGTCTCGCTTGACCACCTGAATGTTAAATCACAGTTGTTGCTCTGCATCTACATGAGCAGCCGTACGACAAGAATACGAAGAAGACGTCGGTACCTTCAAGCAATTGAAGTGACGCTCGACATGAATGCTGGAGATGAATTTCACCACGTGGTATGTATGTTGAACTTATTTTGCACCGTGCTCATGAGACGTGCGTGGCAAGGACAATAAACTAAAGACAAAAAGCAGTTCTAAAGACATGAGAGCTATGAGGGAGAGACATTGAGAAGAGCAAAGGGCCCAGCATGAAAGTTTGTGGGACACCGTAGCACAGGGGGTTTCTGAGAAGAAGAAGAAGAAGAAGAAGAGGAAGAAGAAGAAGAAGAGGAAGAAGAGGAAGAAGAAGAAGAAGAAGAAGAAGAAGACGAAGAAGAAGAACGTCGGAGGAGACCATAAGAGGCAAGAGCAGAGCCGGCGACGCTTACTGCCCTGAAGCATCACCTCGTTTAAAGGAGAGGGCAATTCAACAACGAGAGGGGGCACGGCGCAAGCGATGTTTCACAGACTTTAAACTATTTAGCGGAGGGGGTGGGGACTGAGCTTTTATCAGGGGGGGGGGGGGCATGGCCCCTTGCAGCCTTCCTGCCGCTCAGGGGCAAGATGCCTGCGTAGGATGGAGATGTTTAAGGAGGGTACCGTATCGTGGTCGTTGGTGTCCAAAGCAGTGGGAGTGGTCACGGAGATCTAGGACGGAGAGAGATCCACGGTCAAAGTGAGGAGTGGCGTGCCACAGAGAAGTTTCATATTCAGAAAGATACGTCAACAAACATTTGCAGATGCAGCACGTTCATTGCATCAGGCATGTCAAGTCATGCAAAATTCTGTAAAATATACACAGGATTGTATAAATCCATGTAAAATTATGATGAAAGAGGGCAATTATGGCCTTAGGGCAGACATTTGAAAGGCTCTGGTATATGCACTGTTGTGTATCCTCTAGCTCGGCCATGATCGGCATGATTAACCTCATGTTGTAAATTGGCAAGGGACACCCATTTATCAATTATCATACAAGCACTGACTTAATGGCTTCATTTCAGCCTTTGACTTCTTGGAATTTCACCCCACGTGGGGTCTGCCTTCTTGGTCCTCCTCTTCCACTCATTCCTGTCCTGGGTCATCATCTCCAAATCCACTCCACAGTCCTTCACATCTTGGCTTACCGCTTGAAACCACCTCTCTCAAGGCATGCCTCCTGCCTCTCGATCTCTGCCCTGGCGCGTCCATGTCCATCACCTCTCCACTTCCGATGTGGTTCTTTAGAACTGATTTTTGTGTGTGTAGTTTGTTGTCCTTCCCCGAACCTCCAATTTGCACGGTTAGCTACATACATCGGAGTCAACTTTTCCTCAGCCAGACTGAGACGGGCACCACTAACACCTAAGAACTTAAGTACCAGCCATTCGTCTGATTTGCTTCTTTTGCACTGTGGCATTAAACTTGTTTACGAAACAATAACAAACGTTAACGTCAACTTGTTAAAGACTGCATGTAATGCAAGGGGCCAAGATAGTAAGAACGTGTTCCTGATTTTTTTTATTAATCTTAAAAAGCGGACAAACGGGCCTATATAGATGCACGGTATGTATGCAGAACTTCTTTTCCACCGCACGTAGCCAACCGTGCTAATCGGAGGTTGCAGGGGAAGGGCAACTATTGGGCCTATATATGAAATGTCGGATGATCTGAAAAAATATATTCATAGATATGGATTGACCTGAAAATGTGACGTCAGAGAAAACAACATCACATTATGGCAACATCTCTGCTTTACCCACCAAGAGCAGTGTCAAGTGGCACTGGGTGACGTCATTTCTTGTTAAGTTATTTAATTACGTAAACAATCCAGATATCTGAAGATATCCTAAAACTGTCCTTAGAAATACAAAATCTGAAACATTTAAATCCGAAACTCTTCCCTATAACATAGCATAGCGATCACAATCTAGAATAACAATTATACACTCTTTGCCTCGTTTACAAGATGCAATATGATTCAAGCATCACACGAGAACAATTACATTAACATAAATTCACAAGCTGGAGTTTGCCAATACATTTTTATGATGAGGAATAAAAATTAAGCAAGGTCGGCACAGCACATTTCATTTTGCTTCGATGATAAATCAAACGCAACTGACAGATGCTCCCTCGAGAAGCTCATACCACTCACAGGAGCACACTCTCTTAATAGAGTGTTGGCCCCAGAGTGATTATATCTAAAGCACCCTTCAATTATCTCTGTTTCGGTAGCCTTCTGATTAGCCACGCTCTCCAAATAAAATCATAGTCCCTTTGTCAATCCACTGCTGGATGAAAGCATCCCCATATCTTGTCAACGAGGGTTGTTTAACCATATAGTATCACACTGGGCAGTGCATTTTGGTGAATAGATGCTCAGGACTGGTTCAGATACTGTATCACTTGCCAGTGATGAGTGCCCCTGGCTGGGAATTAAACTCAGATCGCCTGGGTTCATAATGCAGTGAGCTTTGTAACAGTGCCCAATGTGTATGCTTTAACATATTATAAAGTGGATATCCATGTTTATTTTTCGGTTTATAGCTACTAACGAGCGTCCAAATGTCAGAGTTGCAAAATAATATTGCACTGCATTATTTACCACGGCCGTGGCTTCACACACAATGGATTATGCGTGTGTAATCATAATCATCAGGCACGGTCAAACGTTGATGGATGAAGTCCTACCCCCCGAGGAGGCCGCAATCTCTGTCCCGTGATTCTGCGATGTAATAATCCACGTAGTGGCTCCCCGCAAGCCGATTTCATCGCTCTATCTCTCGGCGGTTGACGTAACGTTTGAATTTGGTGTTCAACCCCGGCGTATGATCTCCAATCCACGTATCTCAGTGTAATCCCAAGCGTGCATCTCTCTCAGTGCATCTTTGCACACTTTTCAATCGCAGCGTGGCACAGTGGTGACCACTCGTGCCTCGCACCAGAAATGCCCTGAGTTTGATTCTCTACACGAGCGCCTTTTTCCGTGGAGTTTGTACGTTTCTCACCCTGTTCTGCGTGGGCTTCCACCGAGTTCTTCCTAAAGTAAAACAAAACACACACACACAATGTAACTGGTATTGGCCAAACATATCATTCCTCAAAAAAATAACGACAAAATTATTCAATTGGGATGACAACATCGGAGCAGCAACATCACCCACTCATGAAAAGTACAAAACAATTGACAGGACCCTCGTGAACAAGAGACTCGGTGAGGTTTTTCTTGGGTAAGTGTACAAATAATAATAATAATTAACATACCAATTCTCCCGCAGAAAAAACACATTTAATCGGTATGTACGACCTGTGATGATACGTAGCTTAGAAACGTGGCCAGTAACAAACATAAAAAAAAAATTATTGGCGAAATCTATATTTTTAAATAAATTTGTTTGTAAAAACAAAAGTACCTGCGAGGGGAAGGCATAAACCATACAACAAAAATCCACGTGCTCTGACCTTAATCGGATTTGTTGGGAACAAACTGAACCCAAAGAAAGCCGCGGTACAATCGGTGTCCCATTGAAAATGCAGCCCCACAAAAGGCACCTTTGACCTTATTGCGACTAGCTCGGACCATGATGAATGCCTGGGATTTGGCATATCGATCCTCATTTTACAAAAACCAATTAGGAGCTTTAAAAGAATTACCCGGGGGGAAGGGAGGGAGGGTGGGTGAAAAAAATCTCACCTGACCTTTGTTGAATGCTCCTTGATACCATCAGCAATGTGTGATGCAACAAAAACACACCCGCAGAGAAAGAGAAATAGAGAAATTAGGGGTGCTCAAACATTTTACAGGTGGCCACTAGGTGCGTTTAATTGGAATTTTGCATCACAGGTACAGCAATGATAAGAACCCAGGTGGCAGTTGGCGATGTGCCACGCAGTAATTGTGATATTCTCCATTTACTCGCGCAGATTATGTTAAAGATCATTAATATATGGATTCATATATATTGATTTATATATCAATGCATAATCTAAATGCCTTTACTTAATCTGCACATAAAAAAAATGTATGGATATAAAAGGTAAAGGCGCGGCCCTGCAAGTGCTTGATTACGCCACTGCGAGCAGAAGGGTCTCCACTAGAGGGAGCTCTGCAGAGCCCCTCGAGAAAAGGTTTCGGCCTCCTCTTCTACGCTGCCCAGTCGTCTCAGAAGGGGTGGACACACCTAGACTTGACTCCACCACCCACAACCTGCCATCCACAAACGGGCGGTGTATCCATTTATACCGTGGGTGCCAACAGAGGCGGGTGCATTTAAGAACTTGCCCCACAGTTTCAACTGCCGCACAGGTTGATCAAACCTGTGACCTCTGGATTGCAAGTCAAGTGCGACCACCATTATATCACAGGAGCATTCCCCCCCCCCCTCCTCCCTGAATGGATGAACAATATGTATATACCGCATGCAGGGTGGCCCAAAAGTCAGGCATTTATTTTAACAAATGTTTAAAGCGACTTCCGTGAGTATTAATGCACGCACGAATAAATTATCTGAATTTAGGAATACAAAAAAATGGTTTCATCGGTGAACGTTCATGAATTACGTTTTGTCTCAATCTACTCAGGGTTCTTGGTTGAGTTTTGTACATGACGGATTTGAGGTGACCCCAGAGGAATAATTTATATATATATTATTATTAATAATAATAGATACAATATTAACTTGAAGAATAAGCAATACAAATGTTTTACTGACAATGTAAAAAAATAAATTAAATAACCCTATATGTCCTGTTTTTCGGGCCATTATTCTGTATAGCTTGATTAGGAGGTATAATAAATCTTGAGAAAAGCCCTTCTAAGCAAAACTATAATCTTTTCCCCATATTGAAAAAAAGGATCCGTTCCTGTGGTCTTATATATATTATGACATTTGCTATCATAACCTGGTAGACTGCTGAATGTACCAGTGAGAAAAGCTTATTTAAATACATTTAAAATCCCAAGTCAATTTGCTCTGATGAAATGCAATTCTTTCTATTGTTTGCTTATTGAAAAGAAAAAGGCAAAATAATTTAGGTTCAGTGAATAGATTAACTGTAATAGCTGGCAAAGACTGAAGAATTATAGTGTGTTCACTCAAACGTATTGAAATAAATTAAAATGTTACAAAGGGCTCATTGTAAAGTCTGATATGAAATTGGACAGGGTCAAATGTGGTCACTAAACAATAATTTTAATCAACAGAAGCTTGTTCAACTTCGTAGCAAATCATATTGCAGTACATCATATTTTTCTTCTACTGTTTGTATCGGAACTAGACACAAAATACAAATGACACTTGAAAAGAATTGTTCAAAATCACATTCAATAGTTTGTAATAAAAAAAATTCAATCAATCGGTCCATTAAAAGAATTCCGAGCGAGTTACCTGTTGTCTTGTTTATTTATGTAAACATTCGAAGACTCAATTCCATACTTGGCAAGAGAACTACATTGTTAAAGCAACGGTGTACTACAACCACTCATTCGGATCACACAGCAAAAATGTGCGTTTAAGCTTCAAATGTAGTTTGTTTAACCAGGTGAAGAACTCAAGGGACCAGGACGAGTCCCGTTTGCAAGAGTGGCCTGGGGCAGTAGTCTGCCAGTAGGGGGCTATGATTACTGCTGTGTGTATAATCCCAACTATGTAATTTGCAGGTCATTTTGTTTTTTACATTGACAAATATGGCCTACTCCTGCGACTGATGTCAAGAGATCTTGCACATCCACCGTGCATCAGACTGCGCGTATCGTTATGGTCACTACACCCCACATTAATAACCAGGGCGGTCGCTGGATTTGGAAAAAACACGTACCTCTCCAACAAGGGGCAAACGCTCTACGGCTGGGCCACGTCGCCACCATGAGCCGTGGACCCAGTTTGGGTGGTCTCTTCTCATTTACAATCACAACCATCTGCACAGCTGAACCCTTGCGCAAGAATGTTTTCGGCTGAAAGACAAAGAAAACAAAATTCCTGGAGAAAAATCTACACGAATTAAAAAAGTATTGGGCCAGCAACCGACTTTCTGTACTGTTCCATGCATATACTCGGTGCACATGGCAAATAGGTGGCTCATTTCCATGTGATCCACCCACACTGCCTCCAATCGGTAGATTGGAGGTGGTGCCATCACGATACCTGGCCACAATGCCATTCCATTAGTGTTGAGTGTTTTTTATGTTAGTTTCCAGAAATGTTAATGTGTTATCGGCATCATGTCACGAGACTATCACATATCTGTTTGAAACTCTTTCAGCTTGCTGTGCAATTCAATCAGGTCTCTTTATTCAGACGCACCTTGAATAGGCCCTGCAGAGAGTGTTCGTCGCATTTTTATCAGAGATAATTTTTTTCTTCACACAGCTGGAAAAAAGCCAGATTGACTGACAAATCAAATTCAGAGCGCGGCTTTTTGTAGCGCTATTGGTGACCAGGCTGAGACCATTAACTCGCTTTCCTTGAAAACCTGGATGAATAATGGTTGGCTGAAACTTGTAACTTTGACCATTACCTGTATATCGATAGTTCAATGTTAACGTGCCATTTTATTGAGGGACCGCTGCTGTGTGGCGTTATCTTGGTGTGGTCTGGGATTGTTTATTATCCTTTTTGCTGCATTTCTCAAGCTTGATAAATCGGATGTATATAATCATTATTTGATTTTATGTATACATATTTTTTGTATTTAGTGACTTACTTACCTTTTCCTATATGTTGCGCTCCTATGGGGTTGTATTGCATTCTTTGTTGCTGTAACTTGCCGGCCCACCCATGCTAGACATCTTGAAAAAGAGCTTCACAGCTCATCGGATTCTTCCTGCAGGATAGATAAAGATTCTGATGATTATGCTGGGATTGAACCCTGGCAATAATCAGAGCCTCCCTTGTACTCTGAGCCCTCAGCCACCTCTCCATTTCCAATAATTATTGAAGCAACATAATCAAACATTCAATTATTTAATTATCCACAACTGTCCCGCGCAACACATTAAACAATGAAACACATAACAGCCTCAGGTTAATGATATAAAAATCACATGTCACTTTTCCATTCATGACATTACATTCCGTACAGATTTAGGATAATGGAAAAGTTGTGTTCGATATGCAGTGCATGTTATTACAAGATGGCGAATCTAATGCGAGCCACGTGCTTTGGTATCGCCCAGTATCTGCATCAAATGGTGAGCATGTTCATTGTTATTCTTTTAATTCGAGAATTAATCCGCCGATGCGTGAGAAGGATGTGCAAAGTGCAAGACTGTGACCAAGAATCACAGCGGAGTGGCAGCCAAGGAATGGGCACGGTGGCTGCCGAGGACACGCACAGGCGAGAGGTGGATTGTCGCACGCCACGCGGATTGTCGCACGCCACGTGGATTGTCGCACGCCACGTGGATTGTCGCACGCCACGTGGATTGTCGCACGCCACGTGGATTGTCGCACGCCACGTGGATTGTCGCACGCCACGTGGATTGTCGCACGCCACGTGGATTGTCGCACGCCACGTGGATTGTCGCACGCCACGTGGATTGTCGCACGCCACGTGGATTGTCGCACGCCACGTGGATTGTCGCACGCCACGTGGATTGTCGCACGCCACGTGGATTGTCGCACGCCACGTGGATTGTCGCACGCCACGTGGATTGTCGCACGCCACGTGGATTGTCGCACGCCACGTGGATTGTCGCACGCCACGTGGATTGTCGCACGCCACGTGGATTGTCGCACGCCACGTGGATTGTCGCACGCCACGTGGATTGTCGCACGCCACGTGGATTGTCGCACGCCAGGATCGTGAGGGATGGCGGCGGCTTTGGGAGGACTTCATCCAGCAGTGGATTGACCATGGCTGATGATATATATGTCGCATGTAATAAATTATGGAACGAGAAGTTGGTCCTTTCGAAGATGTAACATTCCGGGAATTGTTGCATTGTTTCCCCTGTGACCTCTTGCACATTCGGTTATCGACCAGCTTCTCTTTAAATTATATGGCAGCTTATTAAAAAAAAGTTAAAGTTCGTACAATACGCAGTTGCGAGAGTGATTCACAAGTGTTTAAATTTCGTGTTTATTAATTCCCACTATTTTTTATCATGGACATTACACTGGTTGCCGGTAGGGTTAAGTTTAAAATGTAATCGTTGCACACAAAGCAGTGAACATGTTAGTACCTGCTGCTCATGAGTGCAATCTGTTCAGGTCGTACAGGTCACCAAGAGATCTCCTCTCAAACAATGAGTTAAGCGAGTCTGATCACTTGTCATTGCGCGCTCTAATCAGTCCAGTCGAGTCCATTACGAATGCGTGCTGCTCACACATAGTAGCCAGCTCTTTGGAAGAACACTGCTTTAATACTGCTGCAAAACTGGCTCAGACTCAGGGATGGATACTGATCCTTTGCTGTCGGTAACTGGGCCCGGTGTGTCTGGGCCAGAGACCCCCGTGTCGCCGCAGGAGGTGTGACACGGTTAGAGCAGCAGCAGCAGGGTCACTCTGGACTGCTCATCATGGACGGCGTCGATCGGGGTCCATTGAGGCTCGTACTGCACACTGCTCAGTGAGATGGGACGGTGCAGATCGGTGAAGACTCTTTTAGACGAGTAGACATAGTTGATCAATTATCCCATATGCGATGAGTAGCCGATGTAACTCGTCCGCTATCGAGGTCGTGATGGGATCAAGTTGAGCCGTAGCATTCAACACCGACTGCAACGGATGTGTAGTGACACTACATCGCCTGGCGCCATCTACCAACAGAGAGAGGGGAATTGCGTGTGTAGTAGCCCTCTCTGCTAGCAGAGTACACGATGTTATGGAAGAGGTCTCTAGTGGAGCATGGTTCTGGGGGCTGGCAGAGTAGGGGGCATTTGAGGACATAGTCGCCCGATTGGCTGGCAAAGGCACGTGATAGGGCAAGGTGAGCATGTAGGCCAAAGGTGACAGTGGGGACACGTGTTGTAGGGCCCAGAGCCTTCTAGTGAGTTCCAGAAGTGGGTGTGACTGAGGGCGGAGCCAGGCAGGGGACATGTTGAAGGTGACCAAGAACCTTCTAGTAGGTTCCAGAAGGGGGCGTGTCCGAGGGCAGAGCGGGGCCATGCTGAGGGGCATAAAAGGGAGGTCCCGGGGTCACATTGGGCTGTCTGCTGGAATGGAACCCGCTGTGCTGCGTCTTCTCCTCGGTTTCCAATCTTCGTGCTCTCCATCATGGGTCAGGCGGTGTGCCGACTGACCTGACCCGTTTATATAGTTACCCCGTGGTGGTTACCGGTTATGTAGTTATCCTGTTGTGGTTACTGGTTATGTAGTTACCTCGTTATGGTCGTAGAATAAACGTATTGCCTCCTGAATTGGTGTGTCTCTCAAGTGAACCCACTACAGATGCACTCAATGCTGGCACAGCCAAAGATACTGCTGCAATAGTCGGCGTGGCTGATGACAGATGCATGGACAAGCACCGTAGCTGTCTCGACAGTCAGCGCACGACGGACGGCGCGCAGTTGTCCAAGCCGATAGAATCACCATCGAGCCAAACGCCTGATGTGAGCAGCGGTCAACGGCAAGTCGGTGGTGCCACGGTCAAGGAGGGTTGGTCGCACATTTGCCTGTGCTGCACTGAAAATTAGGAATGGATTGGCCCGTGCAACAATCAGCCCAGCACCTCCACATAGTTAACCCTCTTATGGGATTATTTCCGCAGCGGTGGACTGCAATGACATTGGCATTTCAGGCATGTGCACACGCCTCAAGGCTACCCCCTCCATAAGATGTCATCGATTCAATGCAACAACCGAGTGGTGGGCCATATGGCAACGATGGCAGCATCATGGGTAAATTAGAGCTTAGCTTTAAAGACGGTGACTGCGAGAATCTCAGTGTGCATTGTCATTTCTGCTTCTGACCTATTGGATGAGCCGCAAGCATTCGACACTGGACACTGAGATTCTCTACCAGCCACCATCTTGGCCCATTATAATGTCCATTGTAATGGACCCGGAGATTCTACCAGAAACATTAGTTCAATGTTTCTACACAAATCACGAGACTAATTTTGTCATTCCATAAAACGCCACGAGATTTGGTTAAAGTGTTTTAGATATTAATAACATTTTTATTATTTTAGATAAAAGCTTGGTTATGAAAGGTAAAAAGTCAGAATAAGATTAAACGTGAAATATTTCATTACTATGATCATTGTTATCACCTCATTATGATCATCACAATCATAACCGTGGTCTGTGATCAAATTCACTGCTGGTTTACGGCTTCAACAAGCCTTTGACATTCCTCAGAATCCCTCAATGCAAAAATCATCCCAGAGCCTCCACATATTATAAGAGTCAAAATATATTCCTTTTGGCAATTTTCTCCATTACTGTGGCCATTATTATTGCCGTCTTCATCATAATCATCAACTTAACTGCCACTCATTGTGAGGTAAAAATTTGCTCTGCAGCCTTGAGGAAAACTTTCGTTTAATTCAAGAATAATTATGAAAATTTATGGTTTTCATATCACCATTAAATAAAGGCAAATTTTTACAAGAAAGGACTAACTTTCCGCACAGTTAAACTGCACGCCACGAATGATACATGTAAATTGCAGGAAATACTCATAACTTGAGTATAACCTCCTGTATCATCGCAATCATCATTCAACATTAACCATAGCCACTTCAACTTATATATAAAGAGAGATTTTCAACAGCCATGGGCAACACCATCATCACCATAGTGATCATTGCCAAGAGGGTATTATAGTCTATCATGCAGAGGCCCTACCTTCCACCCATTACTAAATAAAATACTCTTATTCCTCTTCACCAACATCAGTCATCATTTGCATGAATTAATTATAATTCATCATGTGCTGTTTTTTGTTTGTTACACAAGATAAACTAATAGAAATTGCACATGCCCAATTACGTGGCTGAAAACA